CAGTTAAGGTATTTAGAATAGTTAGACGTATCGACCTGCTTATTTTTTAACTGCAAAGCTGAATGCCTCTTAAATCGCCCGATACACTCTTTCACAATAGTGTCGAATCCCCGGTCTATGCGACTTCTCAGGACTGTGGGGGCCGAATGATCAACGGAAGGAGGCCAACCTACAGGACTGTACTCAGGGCTAGCATGTACAGTAAATGGTTGGCACGCTTCCATCATCCATGTTCATGATAATTCACGTGTTCGGAATGCGTTTTGGAACACGTAGATTTAGACAGCATATAATGAATTATATATATCTAGTTTTACCTGTCTTACATATCTCACCTCTATTAGGATCATCTACCATATCAACAGCAGGTTCACAGCAAGGCACGATGAGTATTCGGAGAACCAGGAAGTGGGAACAAAAACAAACTACCGCCGAATGATGTTTTCGGATTAGTATTCGGTTACAGTTGTTCGGATTCGAGTTCGCTATTCAGCGAGTGTGTTACTTATCATAAAACAAAAGTGGAGTCGAAGGGGGGGGGGGCAGTGAATACGTCATTTTATCCATCTTTGACTAAAGCATGGGGGTAAAATTAAATATAAGTAATACATTACACTGTTAACAACTCAAAAACAGAAAATTCATAGACGTCCGCCTTTGATTATATATATTGTGCTTTGTAGATTTTGCAGTCTCACAAAAAATGTTGTCCAAATGTCATTTTTATTTTGTTACTAAACGAGACCTAAAATTGGGTAGAGGGATGCCATTGAGCCTTCAAAAGTGTGTGCATTTTTATACCATTGTGTTTACGAAATCCATGCCCATATTTATACGAAAGTACACTTTTTATACCGAATAAAGACAAGATAACACTTTGTTGCTTGATTTAATTTGACAAATGTGAAATCACAGTCCTTCGTCTTTTGACCTCTTCAAACCATCAGAAACTGTGGATGTTCCATGATCCATGTTCTGTATTCGATATTTAAACGGAATTCGGGTGGGATTTAGGTCTTGCATATAGATCAATGTTTCATTTATACCTTGAATTCATACCTAATTGGACAGAAAATAAGACCCATAGTTATAACTACAGTCTTGAAAAACATAACGTATCTCAATTGCACGTTCCCAATAAATAATTTCTACATATTGTCCGGGTCTGGTATGCAATGTATGCAACGTGAAAAGTTACACAAATGTTTAGGTTCGACAAAGTGAGTTTTATTTTCACGAGGACAGTATGACCAATCCACACAAAGAATGATCAAACTTTATTTGAATGTATGAACAGGAATATTTTGTTTAATGCGTCTACCAGGCCTGGCATATTTAAACAAATTAAAATATTTTATATGTGAGAATTCCTCCTTTCGCAACTACTCAATTAGCAATCATCCTACAATCGGGTGAATCTTTGCGCCCTTCGCATTTTATTTCTGTAAAACATATAAACATAATTTTGTAATCTTTCATGAATTGCGTCACCATCAATAATCATTTTATGAATGGAGTGCCAGCACATACGTACACCCCGGTATTTAATATATGAACAGAAGTTTCTCCTAAGATTTCGATTTGTTAAATTCGTGATTTCTGCTTCCGCGTGGCATTTTCAATGTCGGATAATCAGGATAATTAACTAATTTAAAATTGACTGTTTAATTAATGATTGTTTCAAGCTGTTAAAGACTTGGTTTTAAAAACACCTACATGCACGATCCTCAATTTTATGGCCTTTCTATATCAGACTACCATAGGAAAACAATAAACTAATCCGTTAGTTAAGGGAAATGTGGGGGGAAAAATAATTTGATAATTTTCAAGTTGACTCAAAACAAAGATTTTTATCAAATCGTATTGTTGTTTGCGAATAAATCGAAAAAATATCGGGGAAAGTTGGACTCTCCACGTGAGAAAAAAAATGATGCCATGTAGATAGGAAAAATCGCTGTTTATAAATTTGACGATGAAGATTACAATAGTCGTAAAAATAACAGCGTGGCCATGAACTGTGATTTTGATAGCGGGACAGTGGTGTTAATTAATATACTGATTGGAATTGTGATTTGGCCAGGAAATCAGCTACTCAGCTGTTTTAGGTTTAATGTTCATTTTTTGGGTTTACTTACATTTTCAGTTATGTAATATGGCCGGGAATATGTAATTTTGAAGATTGTTGTTTTTACTGTATATTTGCGAATACAGGATGTGTAAAAGTAAAAGAAGGCCTAACTAAGCTATTTCCAATCCAGAAAGGTATAAGACAAGGTGGTGGATTAAGTCCATTGCTATTCAATATATACATAAACGACATTAAAAGACACATTGATCTATCACAAAATGACCCACCAACTCTACTGGACAGTCAGTTGTGATGTCTTTTATACGCAGATGATCTTCTTTTGCTGTCACACACTGGGATATTAAATGCATTAAACTCACTTGAGATTTATTGCAAAAATGGCAACTAGAGATATACATATCAAAATCAAAAACAATCATTTTCAATAAATTGGGGACAAGTCTAAACAAGTTTAAATTTTATGTAAATAAGAAAGAGCTTGAAAAAGTTTCTTTTTATACATATCTGGGTATTACAATTAATTTCACAGGAAAACTTCACAAAGCCCAAATTGACTTTAAAAACAATGAAAGCCCTATTCAGTCTAAAACAGCAATTATATTAAGTCTGAGAAACAAATATCCCGGTAAAAGCATATCTAAAGATGTTTGACGCAGTGGTCAACCCATTCCTGCTTTATTGGTCATGTGATAACATCAAACAATCGTCAAACCTATCAAACTGCACAACACCAGCAGAAAAACTCCACCTGAAATTCTGTAAATTTCTTCTAAAAGTTGGCTGTAACGACACAAACATTGGTTGCCTATTAAAATGGAACTGGTTCGCTACCCACTACGCTTAGCAAGTCTGACCCAAATGTTTAAATATTGGCTGAAAATTGCTAATAAGCCGGAAAATACACTGGTCAATGAATGTTACAGACTATGCGTAAAAACTGATGAAATCTAGTATTAAACGTCTACTCAAATTATTAAACATAGCGATAACCGCATGACAATCTAATCATTAGATTTAAAGAAAAAATGCAATTTCTCTATCAAACAAATGCCAAGGAATCACTATATAATGACAACAAAGGCGGAAACCAAAAAATGAACTACTAAAATATAGGAAATAAAACAAGATTTCACCTTTGAAAATTATCTAGAAACTATTAATCCAAAACACAGGTCCGTCGGCGACGACCAAGCTAAGAAGAATCTAAGTGCACATACACTGCAAATGGAAAATATTGATCTGATCAAAATGCTTAATATGCAACAATGATCAGATCGAAAATGAGACACACTTCCTTCTACAGTCACTGTGCAAATATTACAAAAAAGAGAGAGATGACCTCTTCGACAAAAACAACATACTCCAGGACAATTGCTCTGACTATGACAATTTGATAAATATACTAAAACTAAAAGATAGACAAATATTAAAAGAGTTGTTGTGTTTTACTATGAGGGAAGACAGTTTAATAAAGGATTTCCAGCTGCCTCATAACTGCCTTTTTATTATACGTGTTTTTATGCTTTTAAAATTGTCTGTTTTTCTTTCTCTCTTAACTATTATGTATTTTATTAGTTTTAGTTAATTTGTAAATTGTTTCTGTCATTATTTTACATATATATTACCTTTGTTGTATGTTCTTGTAGTATACATCTGATGAATAAAAGACATTCTTTAATACGCCTTTATGCTTGTTGTTTTGGTAGTACGTACACTAACAATCAATGAACGTATAATTGTTTTTGATTTTTCATCTGGCGATTCTGATTCTTTTTTTTTATAATTATTACGAATTCGAACCTAAACTGATTCTGGATCTGAATCAGAATCTGATTCCAATGTTGTTTGAATGCTTGCACATTATTTCCTCTTGCTTTATTTACCCGCGAAGAATTTTGTGGACAGCAGCATTGACATGCCTCTGCTTGTGGGCGGCACAACATACGAACAGGTCACATCAGTCGCTGATTTTGTGAAGAAATACTCTCATTTTAAGGTATGTGGTCTCGAATTATTTTAGCTAGCAACGATGCAGCTTTCACTTCGGTAATTTATATGACATCGTATCTTATATGCGTACCATGACATGTACGGAGTAGAAAAAGTCGAATTGGCACATTTTTTGCAAGTCGAAATAACACTCCTTTGACACATTTCAAAATCGTCGTGCAATATCCGTTGTAAGAATATAGCGTATTTTTTAATTTTGCTGACCTAGTAGGACTTTTGTTAAAATCTATTTATAAAAATGACGCACATAGTTACCCATAAAAAGTGCTTGAGTCAGCAAGAAAACTTAATAAACGACGACGACGAGGGCCGAATACCCGTCTCCACGGTCTACAGCTTCGAGAGCAGCGAGTCTTGCTGTAAACATCTGCTCCGTGAAATATTATCAACTGCAGGAGTAGAAATTGGAAATGGCCGGAGTATTGAATTCCATATTGAGCTATGTGGTAGGGACACCGCAGTCTGAACCGATGCGTGAAGACCAGGTGATAAACAACGCAGGCGGGTATGTTTGGGAAGTGTCCGACATCAACCGTCTTCGCAGATTTATGTGCCTGGGCTCTGAAGGCGGTACATATTACGTAGGGGAGAAGGAACTAGGTCTGGAGAATGCTCAGTGCATTAGAAGAATGATAATGAACGGCGAAGGTGAGAAAGTGGTGAACGAGATCAAAACCTTCAGTGTTGAAGGGCGAACGGCGAAACAAAATCCCATTTTGTTTGCCCTGGCAATCTGCGCTAGAGACAAAGATTTGAAGACGAAACAAGCTGCATATAAAGTACTAGATGATGTCTGCCGAATACCCACTCATCTTTTTGCATTTTTAGAGCTGTGCGAGAAACTGAGCAGAGGTACTGGATGGGGGAGAGCACACCGACGGGCTGTACAGGATTGGTATAAAAGGAAAAGCGGTAAACAGCTTGCCTTGGCTGTGACAAAATACCGACAGCGGAATGGTTGGACACACAGAGATGTACTGCGATTAGCTCATATTAAGGCAACCAAGAAACCCACTGCTGCTGTGTTGAAATACATAATCAAAGGTTTAAAAGTCGCTAGGGAAGATTTTGCCATAGATGAAGAAGCAGACATGGATACTGAGAATGAGAAAGAAGAGAAAGAGACTGCCCAAGTACTTGAATTCCTCACAGCTGTGGAGGAGGCAAAGGAGGCCCATGAAGAAGAGAAAGTAGTGCAGCTTATTGAGAAACATAGACTTGTGAGAGAACATGTACCAACACAATTTCTCAGCTCAAAATTGATTTGGCAGGCCTTGTTGAGAGAAATGCCGATGACAGCAATGATAAGGAACCTTGGAAAGATGACATCAATTGAGCTTTTGAGTGACGAATTGAGTGACGAAGTCTCAATGGTGTGTGAACAATTGCAATGCGAAGAGTCACTCAAAAAAGCACGTATCCACCCTTTTAATGTTCTTCTGGCTTTGAAGACCTACCAATCAGGACATGGTGATAAAGGAAAATTGAATTGGCAGCCGAATAAGTTGATAATGAATGCATTAGATGATGCATTTTATGCTTCATTCAAGAATGTAGAACCAACTGATAAACGTTTCATGTTAGCTTTAGATGTCAGTGGATCAATGAGCTGTAACATTCATGGTGCTTCAAACGTGTCTGCATACTGTGCATCGGCTGCCATGTCTATGGTCACTGTGAGAACTGAAAAAAACTCTCATACTGTAGCCTTTTCTCATACCATGGTTCCATTGAAAATAAATGCTAGCATGAAGTTGACTGAAGTGATAAATGAAATGAAACGTATTCCCATGGGTGCAACAAACTGTTCTTTACCAATGATACATGCCTTAAAAAACAATATTCCCATTGACGTGTTTATTGTGTACACTGATTGTGAAACATGGTGTGGAAATGTACAACCTGTTGAAGCCCTACGGCAGTATCGTGAAAAGATGAACATAGACGCTAAATTAATCGTATGCGGTATGACATCTACAGGTTTCACTATTGCAGATCCTGATGATACAGGGATGCTGGATATTGCTGGTTTTGACTCTGCTGCACCAGAGGTCATTAGAAACTTTATTATGGGCTTTATTTAAATGAGTTGCTTTATAACAAAAATATAGTGTAAAAAGAATAATTATTTACCATTAAAATCTGTTGTGTTTCAGATATATGTAAGTTTTGTTTTCCTTGATTGGATTTTATGAGTGTAATAAATACATGTACTTGATTGAAGTTAATATATACATTGTATATCAATCACGGTAGTTTTCAAATTTGGTTTGAAATTTTTACATGATATATGTTTGTTATCACATTAATTTTTTATTTTTCAATTATCTATACAAAAAATGAATATTTGGATTCTCACATATATTATAAACAGTAATTACACTACAATTTTTTATTTCAGTGTTAAACTTAGATAAACTTTTTTATATTTTTAAAATATGACCACAATTTATTATTTAATTAAATGAAGTTTTATTTAAAATCTGTTCAGTTACATATATTTACATTGGAGGTACTAATAAAATGTGTGAAAATTTGTGTCATATTGTATGATATGAGAGAGATTCAAAGTGGATGCAAGGGACCTCCATCAAATTGTATTCTATATGAGCTTTGAGTAGACTTGAACCATCAACAGAAACATTAATTCACCTAGCTCAGAAATGACCCAAAGATGAATGTCACTTTGACAAAACTTACCTTTGCCCTATTCATCACTTCATGTAGTTTGATTGAAGCCTGTCTCATTACCATTAGAGTCCAGGAAGTATGCGTAAAATATGCAAAATGTTTCGGCACGAATAATGGTGTTAAAAAGGTTTGTAAATTGCTATGAATACTGAATTATATTGATTTTTAGTCTACCAGTATAATGAAATATGCTTTAGGTTAATATAGATCTATGTTAAAAGGAATCACAAATCAAAATCATGTACTAATTGTTTTAGCAGCTTGTACATACCAACCTAATGCTGTCACTATTATGTGAACTTGATAGTATTTAGTAATTTTGAGTGAAGTTAATAAATATGTTACCTGTGTTTTTGGGTGTTCATATTAATTTTCTGATTTGCATTATTAGTTTTTGGCTTTTCCATCACTATCACTATCTCTGACAAGTAATTTTGAATTATATTTAATGTGTCTCCAATACTCTCAGCACATGGGAGTTTTTTCTAAGCTTTCTTTGATTGCAGTTTACATATTATGAATCTGATGCAATATTGAATTGATTCTATCCTCCCAACACTGCCATTGACTGCAGTATAAAAGTTTGTGGAAAATATAGTGAAACAGTACAGTTTTAACAAATTGTTAAACTTGTTGTCATGGTTTTGAAAAATGTTTCACAAGTTTGACAACTTGTTCATTTGGCATTCATGATATTGACCATTTCCCTAAGTGTCAAGTTATCCACAGAATTCACATTATTATTATACTGCATGTATGTATATTACTTACAGGAGTCAGCAGCAAAACTTTGTAATAAAAAAGTAAAGAAGTGCCAACCAGAAGGATTGTTGTATATTTATCAACGCGAGTTTGCTACTACTACACCACAAGATGGTAAGTGTGATTGTAAAAATTATGGCAGTTTAGTTATTTGTTTGAAAAGATGACATATGTCATTCTCTCAATAGACCATTTTCCGTACACTGCGAGAATCACGCGTTATGCGTGAAATCGAACGTAAAAACAGGACAAACAAAGGTCATAGCGTCGTAGTCGCGTCAAACATCGCGTGGGATTCGACAAACGCAAAAGTATTTCGGGGACATTTCCATGCTTAATAATGTGCTGTCCACATTTGATGATAGGCAATTTCGATTAAGTAAGGGTATTCGGAAGCAATATTCCTCTGTCGAAGATCGGCCGGTCAATGTAAGCTACGAAATAAAGAAATTCTAGTTCAAAATCAAATCGTTTGATTTTTGCGGCAGACGTTCGACGCGCGTCTTTCATGCATCTTGCAAGATCTCGCAATTGTACGGAAAATCACCTATTACTGTAGAATGGACCAAATAATGGTTCCTATCTCCCTCCAATAGAGGTGCATGTAAGCTAAAGTGCATGTGTGTTGCTATCAACATTATGCTGCCTTGAAAAGATATTCACATTTAGTAACTCGCATACATAGTCAGTATTTGTACACTTATGCAGGATTCTTGATAATCCCACAGCCGCTGTACGTGTTTTGGGAACTGAAGATGCAACCACTTGTCACATGACAGTTTTACGACATACAGGTAGGTATGCACATACAGTAGTATTTGTGAGGCTGTAGTACTACTACACACCCTTCAATGAATTTGTAAACACATATTAAAAACAAGAATATCTGCAACTTAAGTTTCCTTTCTGACTTGTGATTTAACTAGTGTCTGAACTAATCAGACAATTAGTTTTTAATTTGTTTACATTTGACTGAAGGGGATATTGGAATATCCCACAAAGCACCCAACACGGTTAACCTTTTCACCTAGATTTTTCGTATATTCTTTCAATATATCTGGAAATACCGTAATTTTGGAGCCAACAGACAAAATTTGAGTCTATTTTCAGTTTTTACTCAAAAAAATGTACCTATTTTTGTTGCAGACTATAAATGAGACAGACTATTTTGTGAATTTGTGATGAAAAGAGGGAACTGGTGGTGTGCACAAATAAGTCTGTGTAGTGTAGTGTAGTGTATTATCTACTAAAGAAGTTTGGTGAACTGTCTACTAGAGGAATCAACCATTGCAATAAGTGTCATTTAAATAAATAACTGACTATTTTAAAATATGTAAAGGGATGGTTTGAGTTCAATGGGCATGTTGTCATTGTAGGAAGTGGTGCTGTGTGCTTATCACACTGTGATGGCTCTGGTATAGAGAATGGTGTGAGATCCATGGTAAAGGAAGTCAGTGATTTGTCAAAGGGAAGAGAAGGACTGTGAGTGAGGACTCTTATACCAGTTTTATGAGGGCAGCGGTGCTTAGTTTTTTACATCTACACTTTGGTTTATCATGCAAGATCCTTAGGCAGTGCATTCAGTTTCATCTTATATCAAGAGAATTAAGAACCAAATAAAACCTGGTGCAAGCTTTACATACTTCTATGTGTTTATCACATTATTAGCACACACATAACTAGAATATCCACAGTAGCAAATGAAGCTGCCCATACCTGCAGCAAAAAAACATTCCACAAAATGTCATCTTGCTAATTCAAATTTTGGCATTGGTTCTTTTCCAAAAATGAGTAAATTATTACATGGTGAGGATTGACTACCGGTACTGCAAAATATTGTTGCAGCTTAATCAATAGGAAATGGCAGATATCTATTTCTTGTATGATAAATGTTCAGATAATTACAAAAGCCAAGAAATATTGTGAAAATACAGTAATGAATCAGACAACATTATGTGCCACACCGCAGAAACTGATTTAATAATTTCACATTGATCGAAAGTACTCTATGAACTTCCTTTGTATGCATTTTAAATAATACATTTATTACAGTAAGTCAAATAAATTGCATGTGTCTTGATATTTCCCTTTAGTTTTGAATTACACATCATTGGAGGATTTACAGATGACAAAAAATGTTCTGAGAATCTTTCTATTGAGTTACTGGGTGAGTGAGTGATTTACATAAATTATGACACTTGTATTAATTAAGTATATGGATATGCATTCATGCAGCCTGCAGGAGATCTCTCGTGTCATTTTCATTTGGTATCAAGCTTCCAAAAAAATACAATGTTCTCCACGCATTGATTTGGTAGGGCGGGGCCGCCATGGTAAAATCATATGCCGCCAAGCTAAATATCGCGCCGCCAGGGTAAAATTCTTCAGCGTCATGCTAAAATGACCAAATAGACTGACGCAGTTGGGGCAATTGATTTGTTGTAGTTTAAATTAGAAAAAAAAAAAAAAATTACGTTTAAAAATTGTAATGATATTTTCAATTCTCTAATTTTGGTGAATATTTTTTTCATTTTTGGTAAAAAGTGATATTTTCAACTTCTTGTTAAAAACCGCAAGTTCAATTGCTTTGATATTACATATATACCGGTACGTACTAAATGTGAACCTCTCTCAGATTTGTTCATTTTGTGATGATATTTTTAATTCTCTAATTTTGGTGAATATTTTTGTCATTTTTGGTAAAAAGTGATATTTTTGACTTCTTGTTAAAAACGGAAAGTCCAATTGCTTTGATATTACATATATAGGTACTACATGTGGACCTCTCTTAGATTTGTTTATTTTGTGATGATATCTTTAATTCTCTAATTTTGGTGAATATTTCTGTAATTTTTGATAAAAAGTGATATTTTCGACTTCTTGTTAAAAACCGCAAGTCCGATTGTTTTTATATTACATATATAGGTACATTTTGTACTACATGTGGACCTCTTTCAGATTTGTTAATTTCGTGGTGATATCTTCAAATATCTAATTTTGATGATTATTTTTGTCATTTTTGGTGAAAAGTGATATTTTTGAATTCTTGTTGAAAACAGCAAGTCCCATTGCTTTGATATTATACATATTTTCTAATGATATCTTCTGTTCTTTTATTGAAATGTGCAAGACTGAGGGAGGAAGGGGGTCTTACAATCAGAGTGCTGTTGTCATATCATGTTCCTTATAATTTAGCTTGATTGTTTTTTTCAAAAATATGTGACTGGTTGGTTCAAGCTCCATTGTCACATCTTTTGTTGCACAGAAAGGACCTATACATGTACATATTTATTTTATTTCATGTTTATGGAATTAACAAGTTATACTAAAATAATTTTAAGCAAATAATATTTTAAAAATTATTTGTAGAAAATGTTCCATATTTATTCTGTTATATTTGTCTTATTACAGATGCATTTCACAAACAAGCAGAAGAACTGCATTTAATGACTGCATGTATCACAGGTAGAAATATATCAAACTTTTTGACATTTATAAATGGTTATGAAGTGACAAGTGTGAGACTTTTAAACCATGTCATTTTATAACTGAATTTCTAAATGGCAAGAAGTAAAAATGTTGTCAATTTATTTTGTTTTTTACACATAGTTTAGTTCATTTGATGACCACCACCACTCACTAGCGACAAACAAGTCTTTTTCGATGTCCATAAAAAAATACTGAGCAGTGGATAAGAATGAAAACTTACTAGCAAGAATACTACCTATGCAACACCATGATTATATTTATTGCACATTTAGTTGGAATAATTAAACTTGCAGATTTTAATAAAAAAAAACAATATTTGCTAGTTTTGGTGCCTGACGAAATAAGAACTCGTGCTTTACGACACTGATGGCTGTGTAGATATGACTGTGTACCCTGTCTATCACAAAGACCCATGTTTTAAATGAATCCTGCTAAATGTATATATCTTGGTGGAAAACACAAATTTAATTTATTGATATGTTTTTTTTAGATTTAAATGATGTTGTAAAAAATGGTGTACATTGGCCTGTTATATATGGAGTAGGTTAGTATATACCGGTAATATCACATGACTCATGTTTACAGAAATCACAACTAGCCTATAATCTGTGTAATGTTTCATTCACTATACAGAACATATAATGAATGGAATGCCCCATTGATTAGAGTCTACACAAACAAAATTTCTATACAGATAAACAAGATAGGTACAAGCATCAATCTTATTTACGCCTTGCTGTAATTGTCAATTGTTGTTACCTTCCATAACATGCATAGTCCCTCAAAATATATTTCAAAATTAACTTAATTATAAAATTTCAAACTTCAGATGTTTGGAGAATTTTTGGATGAAATCAGAGAAAGAATTGAACATTGCAATGTACACTTTTTGGACAATACCCATACATAATTTACACCCTTGATCACATGACGTTCATTTTAGAATTCATTGATTTGCCATTTTACATATTTCCCTAATTTTGTAGTATCACTATATATGATAAGTCAGTCAGACAAGCTTTTTTAACAAAATACATTACCAAAATTCTCAAAAAAACAGTCATTTCAATACCAACCACCAGAGGGCACCCTCTCTTTAGGTTCTCATAATTGCATCAATATAGACTAGTCCACTAGTCTGTTTTACCATGGAAGGTAAAAAGAGAGGAGATAGGACGCTATTGTTCTCCCTTGTTCAATGATTGTTTCGATAATTTTACTTGGTAAACAATTCCGTAATGCGATTACGTGAATAATTAATATTCGGGTCGGCTCAATTCAAACATGACAACAAGCAAGACAGCAACATAACCATAACCCAACATCTTTCCCTATTTGAGTATTTCAATTGCGGACAATAACTGTAAAAATCGTTAAAATGAAATGAAAAATATGTATTTATATGCTCATATCAGAAAACTGACACAACAATAACTGTTCGTGGTCACACCATGGTTCAAACATCGCACCACCTTCCATATGACCACACACACAACGTATTTATAAGTATATTTGTTGTGTCGAGGCGGTAACAAAATGGCGAAACTATTGCGAAAAAAAAATCGTTTTTTTCACCGTCGCATATCACCGCATACAAACAAGACAAAGCTTACTCGAAAGTGCCTGACATAAAGTCCCACTTGAGCTTTTTAAATACTTCGGGGAAAAAACCGGGCGTGTAGTTTTTTCGTCTTTAAAAATGGAACAAGTTTACGTGCAGAGACCGAGCAACGTATTATCCGCTCACGCTGGAAAACAACTGACGAGTGTTTCGTTTCCGGTGTCAGGCCTTGTCAATGACCTATGACGTCACATGAACCTTTCTGCGCATACACTCTTTCGTCTCTTCGCTGATGCGCAGTGCCACTCGTGATGGTGATTTTTTTTCAGTCACGAAAAATGTGAGTTCATCCCATTTCGCTGAGTAAATAAGCAGTAATGGTGACTGGTAAAATGAAATATAAACAATAGCAATAAGGCGATATTGTCAGCTTGAAACAAAAGAAATAAATCGGATTAAAAGTCGTCCTATCTCCTCTCTTTTTACCTTCCATGGTTTTACAAAGTGTTGATCCACAACATCATCAGATTTAATTTAATTTTTCTACCCATCCAGCTACTGATGTACAGACAGGCGACATTTACCCAGCATCCTTTGCAGATAAAGGCCCAGATATCTACTGTAGATCAGCTGGCAACATGCTTGGCAGTCAAGCCGTAAGTTGATATTTCTGTGAATCAGGGTTATAGCCAGAAAATAGAAAGATATATTACCAAGAGAAATGCAATTTCATTTGAGCATATGCAAGTTGCAAGATCTCGTCAGTTTACAATCTACATAAAACAATCTATATTATCCTAAAATACAACTTATCTGTTTCAGATGAAGAATGTATATAACTGCAGTAAACATCAACTTCAGATTGGACCATTTGAGTATAAGCCATGGCCTCATGCACACATGTGGTTACAACAACCTGATAATATAATTCTGAAGGTGAGACAAGGTTTTTAATGCATCATTGTGCATTTCACCACAGTCCCTCTATAAGTCAGTCTTGCAACTAACCAAATTTTTTTGGGACAAAGCTTGTCCCAGATAAATAAAAGCTTCACAATTTTTGGTTGATCCTAGTCATGCATATCATTAATGCTATTCAGATCCTACAATAGCAGTGAAGAAACCATTTGTTGACTATCTCGAATCAGCCCACCATATTAAACTTACTTCAACAATGATTTTAGGATTTTACTATCAATTGTTCAAAACAAGCGACCTTATGGTCAAGCATTGCAAACCCATAAGACGGTTAATCCACAAAAAAGTAGTTGAGAACATGTCAAATTAACAAATTTTCACTTGTGACAAATTAGCATAATACTTTTCACATACCACTGTTCAAAACAAAAGAGCATAACAAATGATCACCAATCATGGCTGGTATACACATAAGACGAGTAGGCATCCAAGCATTTCTATTCCAGTTTAAAACATTTCTTTTTTGACTCCTGTGTGCGAAAAACTTAGTGCATAGATGCTCTGGGCCAATGCGCAGATTTGATTAGGTTTTGGTAAAAATCCATGCATAATAATTAGCTGATTCTTAGCTGTTCCATGACTGTTCCACTGATATCTAAAGAACCACTCATTGGATTTTGATGAAACTTGGCACATAAATGCTTTGAACTAAAGCGCATATTTGATTAGTTTTAGGTAAAAATCTGTGCAATATTAATTACCTAATTTGCATGATTAGTCAATGTTTGGCTTTTCCACTGATATCTCAAGTAGTAATCATCACATTTCAATAAAACTTAGTACATATATGTCATAGGACACTGCACAGACCTGATAGTTTTTAGGGTAATATCTTTGCATAATTAATTAATTTTCAGCTTTTGATATTTCAAATAGTAATCATCACATTTCAATAAAGCTTCGTACATAGATGTCATAGGACACTGCACAGACCTGATAGTTTTTAGGGTAATATCAGTACATATTAATTACCTAATTTGCATTATTAATTAATTTTCAGCTTTTGATATTTCAAGTAGTAATCATCACATTTCAATGAAACTTGGTACATAGTTACTTAAGGACTGTGCAGAGACCCGACTAGTTTTGGGGTAAATATTTGTGCATATTAATCACCTTATTAGTATAATTAATTTTCAGCTTTTCGCTTGATAACTAAAGTGCTGATCATCAAGTCTCATAGAAATATGCTACATAGATCTTCTAGGACTATGCAAAGACCCAATTAGTTTTAGGGTAAATAATTGTGGATATTAATTACCTAATTTGCATAATAATTTTTTTCCCATGAATGTTCCACTGATATATAAAGAACCATTAATTGGATTTTAATGAAACTTTTAAAAAGTACTCATCATCACATTTCATTGAACCAAGGACTATGCAGAGACCCAATTAGTTTTTGGTCAATATTTATGCTTATTAATCACCTAATTAACATAATTAACACTGATCATAAAATTTGGTACATAAATGCTCTAGGACAATAGACAGGCCCGATTAATTTTGGGTTGAAATTTGTTCATATCAATTCTAATCACATTTCAATGAAACTTGGTACATAGATATTACACAAGCCTTATTAGTTTTACACTCAAATCTGTTCATATCAGTTACCTGATTTACATAATTAGTTTTCAGCTATTCCCTCAATATCTCAAGTATAAGTAATTTTGAATTAATTTTTAATGTGTCTTCAATACTTTCCGCACACGAGAGTTCTTTCTAAGCTTTCTCCTTTTTTAGTAATGTCTAATACAGCCCATCTATTAGAAAGTGCAATTTTTGCATTGACCACTAGTGTTCTCAAATATCTGATTGGACATTAACACGATTGCTAGCATACAACTATGATTGTGGGAGTTACTGTAGATCATATTTATTTATTCCTATCCCATAGTACTTGTCTACATCACCACAAGTGGAACCACCAGATTTTGTCAAGGACATGAGGAATACAATACAACATGTGATAGAAAACCCTCATCCAGAAATTACACTCTTCCCAGACAAAAAACCAAGAGTATATGAAAAAGACAGTACCGGCATTTGGACTAAAGTTAATCCATAAATTGTATTGGTTGCTGCATGATTAGCTAAGAATATTAACACTGAGGATGACGAATTAGCACGTTTATTTCTCCAGACCATACAGTGTGTATAATGGTAATGAGAAAGTTATTTTCGGAGTCTTGTATAGTTTATGGAATGATCCGTTGGCCTCAATTTTGCATTTAAACTATTTTTTTTTACTGAATTATTGAAATATATATTTATAATAACCAAAGGACATTTTTTCACAAACTGGACAGAAGACAATATATATTTAATAACTAATTATCAGTAGTATACATGATTGTACAGTTTTATATAGTTGGAAAATTTACATTGCCCTCCAACATTTAAAGTGTCAATTCAACATTATTTTTCACTTGATACTACATATTCATAAAATCAAGGCTGCCTAGATCAAATATCTACTCTGAATGATACTAAAAGACCACACTGTCTTTGTATATTCAATTAAAAACATCTGAAAGATTAATAAAAAAAAATACAATTTTTTTTTGAGTACTGTTGTGATTCTTTGAACCATGCTATCGTGGGCAGTGCAATAAGTTTAGTTGCAATTAATTTTTACTGATTTGGTATATAGTATATGAAATGTTTTCACAACTTTAAAGTGGGAGTCATCACCTGCGCCAGCGTCAGATGGCCATAACAAGTCACTGAAAATGACACAGGTAAGTTCTCTTTGTGCTAGTCATTAAAGCAGAGGGATTGTCTTGAGCGTGTCCTTGAAACTTGAGTTCCAAGTGGCGTATACAACAGATTGTTTATTTACATCAAAACACATGTTTCGTGTCGTAGTAATATGGCCAAAATAAAAACGGCCATTATTCAGCCATCTTTGATCTGATTATGAAACATGTGCCAAATACGAATGAAAACTGACAGAGCACGTCCAAGATACTGCATAAAAAAAACAAGATGCCTGCCAGTCGACCATCTTTGATCCAATTGCGAAATAAATCGTCATGGACATGTATCCTAACATGTATAATCTATGTACCAAGCTTGAATGACAACTGACAAAGCATGTCCAAAATACAACATTTTCAAAAAACAAGATGGCTGCCAGTCGGCCATTTTGAATCGAATCGCTAAACCACTGCATGTGCATATGTCCCACATAAAGTACTAGGCACAAACATAGAATGAATGGAATCGGTCCAAGGGATTCTGAGATAACTCTGCACAGACGGAGACCAAATTATAAGTCCACGTTTTCGGACTTCGTCCGAACGGGGACTAAAAACAAGCGTCTACCCATGAGCCTTTGTTTTTTTAGAGCGTGTTATCGCTTGAGACTCAATTCCCATGTGTGCGCAGGTGATGACCCTCTCACTTTAATTAGGTAGGAGGTTCATTAATCACACTCCTTATGTGCTAGGAATGCCTTTTTAACAGTACTGAATCTGATATTGAAATAGTAAAATAAAACTAAGTAAGGGACAACATCAAAAGTTCAATGTAGGATAAAAAACTTAATTCCTTTATTTTTTTCCCCTACCCCCCACTGAAACTTAATTGATGAATATTGATGATGCCGTCAGGCTACATTCACCATTAATCAACAAATATATAATCGAACAGTGGTATGGCATAGCAGTTGGTTCTAGGTCCATGCCCTGAAATTGACCTCATTTGACGCACATATTTACACTCGAACCAAACCATAGATAGAAAAAAAAACGAACTACAAATACTCCATGATTTTTTTGACTTCAATAAAAAATAAAATCGTTTTTGTAGGATGGAAACTTTTTGAGGTCAAAACCCCTCACCCCCAAACTAAAGCAAATAAGTTTTTTATCCGACATCGATCTTTTGACGTTGTCCCTAAATACACTTAAGTTGTAGTCATATGGAATAATTATTAGAAATATATTGACATTATTTATAGTTTACACAACTAGAAATTTAGGGTTTGGTACAAAAACAAAACTGCAATGAGCCATTTTTGTTTTAATTTGCATACAAACACTACTACATCAAAAGGTCAGAAGGATTTGGAACTTTTATCATTTCTAAGAATTGAACAGTGTAAAAATCTTGATTTGCTAACAAGATAATAGTTACATTCAAGACAAAATAATTTTTCAAAAGTCATATAAACACCTGTTTGGGATCATGTACCATATGTTATTTAAAGAAACACAGTCAGCTTCTAGTATCTCAGCCCGCTGACATTCAGGCACTGTTTCACACAGTTTAGAATTTTAAGTATACTAGGGGAGCGGATTATGTGCTGAAGAGTTATTAGAATATTTAGGTCCTTTAACATTGTCAACTTTTGGCACCATGTACAAATGATTCTCCTTCCCACATGAAATGTTGATGTAAATTGACAAGCCTTTTGATAATAAACTAAAAACAATATCTGAAACATATGGTTCACAATGATGATGAAATTTGGTGAAAATTTTACAAAATTTGAAAATATTTGCTCTGAATTTTGGGTATAGGAAAATATCTGGCATGTAAAATTAGATATTTAGCCAAAAAAAAAGTTCACTAAACTAGGGTACATTTTTTTCATTGGAAAAACCAACACATGTGACAGATCTCAGGATAATGGATGCATGATATGTGTCATTATTCCAGTATGTTTAAACCCTGGTGATACGCCATGTGCACTGGTTGGTGTGATACCCAGAGGTAGCTGACTTTCTGGTGATGAACCATACCCCAAGAACTCGTCATCTTCATCCTGTCAGGAAATAAATAACATTTAAAAATCGATTTGCAAAACACCATTGAATAGGCTCACCATACAAGGTATGCAAACAAATATAATATGATTCACACATAAGATTCTCTTAAGCAGTGTATGTTTTTAAAACATAGCCAAGCTTTCAGGATATGTATATACGGTATATGTGTTGAGTAACAGACTAAAAGTGACAAATGAATTCCATGTACAAGTTAAAATTTTGTTCTCAAACCCATCAGCAAAGCTAACATAACCATAATTCTTCAAATATAAGACCAATAAAGTTAACTCAGATTCAACACATCTTATTAAGTTGCAGGAAAAATTGAAGAAATCATTTAACAGCAACGCCCTCCTGTGGTCAATTAAGGAAAGGTGATTACGGGGCCATATACTTCTCTCCGAGTTTTAATTATTGGTGTTATGATACGGGTAACCCTGAAAATGCCAGGATGTGCAACCTTGGGGGGGGGGGGGGCAAACACAACCCAATAAATTATTATGGGCATTCCCCCCACATCATCTTTGGGTGTTCTTCCGGTAATGTACCTTCCCATTCTTGGTAGATGGGTTTAATATACTTTTTTGATCTGTCAATGAATTAAGAAAATTAGTTAAAAAATCTTGAGATTGCCTGTGACCAAGACAACAGGTACTAGTATACTTATTGTTTTTTTTCGTTAAATTTTGAAACAAAATATCACTAAGAGTATAAGGTGAATACAAGTGCTGCACATGTGGTAGAAAGATTGTAATTATGATCATCATATTCAAGGGAAATTTTTTAGACAGTATATGTCTTGAAAAATTACTTTAAACTAGATACAAACAAATTTAAATACGCGTGTGTATAAATTTTCTTACACTTGAAACAACATTCAAATTTTGACCATATTGTTTTATGAGTTGAATGTTCACGTATCCCATTGGTAATGTTATACTGGAGACAGTGAGCTGCTTACCTGCTGAGTAGGTATGGATCAAACGGGAAGTACGAGTCCAAGGGATTCACATTGGTTAAAACATTGGTATTATGGCTCTGTGTTACCACTGGAAGTAGTGTTCGGTTGTTGCGTTCAATAACAGTGTAACAATACACTATCTGATGCATTCTATAAACAGAGATAGCAAATAGATTTCAACATGATGTATGGCTTTAACACACTGACTGGCAACTTGATATGCATAATTGTTGGTTTCAGTGTGCCCTTCTAACGGGACAATTGGAATTCCAAAAATCAAGCATACTGTAAAAGGATTAATTATTCACTGGATTTTAATTATGCTTATTTCGCTGACTGGAAAATGCGCTAAATTAAAACCCAGTGAATATGTAAAATTTAGCATAGAACGCATTATCTAAATGATAAAACCGTGAATTTAAAACCTACTAAATATGCCTGAAATGGTAAATCAGCGAAATTTAAACCCAGTGAAAATTATTCATTTGACAGTAGTCAGTTTGTTGACTGCTGGAGTGGTCAGTTTTTAAAAGAAAAATATAATTATATAGAACTGTATAGTCACAAACAAAAATGGTTTCCTTTGTTTTTATACTTCTATTGATTATAAACTGTGAATTTCATTTCACTAAATTACAAACTATATAACCTCTGGTATGATATAAAGTAGTTCAAAATCATTATATAAATGTATAATTTTTTTCTTGCATCAATAGTGCGCCAGTGAAATAGCATAACTAGTTGTAGGATATTTTTGTGCATCAGTGGCATGTCGGTGTAGAGGGCACACTGATGGGTTTACAATATGATACGTTTTCAACTGCATAATACTGGGCAAAGTATAAGGTGTGCATGATATCTGTACCAATCAATTGTTCTTGTAACATCATGAAATTGTGAGTACATTGCATGATACCAATAATTAGTTTAACATACATGTACATGAACACCATGCCTGCTTTTCTTCGTGAATTGTAAAATGAGACAACCAAGAAATGCGACGAAACATACCTTGTAATAGTTGCAAACATATTGACTACAGTTGGTAAGCATACTTTCAAAGGATTCAACCGACAAGTTACGATTCTGTCGAAATTCAGACTTCTTACATAGTTCAGTCCTTTGTTGGTTTCCAAGAGTTGCTTGTGTCGAAATACAAAAATATAAAATGCTGCCTATAAAGAAAGAAAAACTTGTTGAATGAATTGTTACTTCATTCCATTTTTGACAATGAAAAATAAGACAATGCTGGATACTGTTATTTTGAGGTGCAACCTACCTGGCACACAGAATAGAATGGTCCATGTAAATTAACATCAGGGTATGATCTACTACTTCCTTCTTGTCTATCAATGTATTTATGAATCCAGGGTATTAATACATCAAACATTGCCTTCACAGTACTGTAAGAAACAAGATAAACATATTAGGCCAAAAAGAAAGAAGCAGATGCAGCCTAAAACATGAACTTATGTCATCCAAGTTGACATTCCCTGACTGTTCATGTTTAAACATCAATTTTTTGAACTTGATAACTCACAGGAAACATGAAATACAATTCTTTGTTATTTAAGTATTGGCCAAATAACTTGCCATAATGTTTTTATTGGTCAACATATTTAATATTGTCCTAAATAAATTGTGCTATTTTATTTACCGTGTTGCAATAATGTATTAATTTCATTATCTTCTAGAGGTAACAAAACAGTGTTCTCTCTCAATTATTTTCATTTGCATAATAATATACATAATGTAACTTAATTTACATAATAATATCTAGTTCACTTTAGTCGCATAATACTAACTGCTGTTGTTTCTTTAAAAACATGGTAAGGTTGGGTGCACAAAGATACTTGGGGAGAACACAGGTATGAGTACTATTAACACATTCAGCTTGGACATTCACTCACAATTAAAATATATTTTATACAAAATATAACATATATAATGAACTTTAGAAACAAAATTATTCTATTCAAAGTGTTTTTTTGTTTGTACTAACAGAATACCAAATACAAAATTTTGAATATAACACAATATAATTTCTGTAAACAAATTCGTCAATTCTTGTTTAGTTTTAGAAAACAAAATCAATCAAATTTACTTACGAAAGGGGAATAAATTTTGCTCTGGACAGGAGACTGGAAATGAAGGAAGCTGATGACTGTCTAAGGATGGCAGCAGTATCTGGATTCTGAATCTTTTTCCACAGAAAGTCAATGAATGCATCAGCTATATTCTGGATATAAAACAGAAAGATTAGTCAAATTAATATAATGATAATAATAATTGCATCAGTATTTGTGAATATATATATATATATATATATATATATATATATATATATATATATATATATATATATATATATATATATATTTATAAGTTATTAGTATTAGTGTACAATGTATTTCTCCCATTAAAAAAGACAATCAATGTAAGTATTTCTCGACCACTAAAACCAACTAATCAGTAAATGTATTTCTCAATGACTAAAAAAAAATCAATCACTGAATGTTTTCCTGAATGTTGTACATGTACTTGGCTTTCATGCTATGATTGGCGATGCGCATTACTACTTTATTGTTTTGGTATAATTTTATAACCTGTTAGAAGAACAACTATTAAACATAATTATGACTCCATGATAAATAAGTTAATAAGATATTTTATAAACACTGTCTACTGAAACAAATGAGGACTTTATTAGTAAGTAAGACATTCCTATCGAATTCCTAAAAGAGTACTTTAATATTCCATTAGGGAGTAATATTCTATTATTGTATGCACTTACACAAAATATAGATGTGTATCTATAATAAAAATAAGTAGTTTTTCAATGATCCAGCATACAATAAACACAATTATATATATATATATATATATATATATATATATATATATATATATATATATATATATACATACATCTATTATAGATAAGTGGCAAATACATTATCATCTTTTCTGCTTGGGTAAGTGTACTGCAAATATCACCAGCTTTGTGACACCATACAAGTATAATAATAAAATAAAATTTACCTGATTAAAACTACACATATAAAACATAATATACTGAATGTGACAGGAACCATGGGTGGGTAAAATAATCTTGTTGAATATACCAAGAAACTGTTTCCACAGCAACCTTGTTGGCTCCATTTTGAAAATACCTGAAATAGGCAAATGTATACCAAAGATGCATAACAGTGGTACATGTAGTTGGATTTAAATTCTGGGTGGTCGTGTTTGTAGTTCTCATTCAGATTGACATTCTCATTCAAGAAGCTCATACATGTGAACTAGATTTTTCGCTGCTAGAAGTTTAACTCCGACAAAATTCCATGATTTTCACAGAATCACAAAAAATTTCTCTCTTGAAATTAAAGCAGGTTACAATAATTAATAAAATATGACAATTATAGAGAAGAATGACTTTGCTATTTTGACATTCGATAATGCATAGATACTGACATTTATTTTCATTCATTGAAAAATGATGCTTATTTCAAACTGAGTTGTGCTCACATGGGTCCCACAACATATACAATGCAGGTCAAATTTCTTCAAATTCAGATGCATGCTGATGTGTGATGATCCCCAGCTTTTAACGAGACCAAATTATTTTAATATCTAAAAAAATTTTTTTTATAGAATAAATGTATTCACAGCTTGCCCTTTTAGGGTGTTTATTTATTACAGCTGGTAGCAGTGTTCTCCCCAGACTCTAAGCCAAGCATCGTGGCTAATTTACATAATAATACATCTTATTTGCATAATTTTGTTTGCATAATAATTAGTTTCCCCAACAAACATTGTAACTGCAATAAAGAAAAGATACATATCTCATATTTTATTACATTTAAATTTATTGTGTTTTATTTGTCTGTTAAATTTGTAAAATCTGCAAGATTGCGGGTTATCAAAATATGAAGAAATTAATAAATCAATAATGACATTTTTTTTTTTCAACGGCATTTCAAAACTAAAGTCAGCGATTTTTCATTGATCTATCTATTATTTGTGTAACGCTACGATCACCGTAACATTGTCAGCATTGCGTTGAACGGGTATTCACCACTGCGGTTGCGATCATCGGCCCCTGACTTTTTTGTTTAAAAATACACAAACTTAGAATGTTTGCTTAATTAAAACGATTCATTGATGATTGACGTAGAAATTACATCAAAATCGCCAACGAAATGTTGTTTTTAAACATCGCGGAAAAACATGTACTCTGCGCCGCCATCTTTGTTAGCTCAATCAAAATCTCCGTTGTAACCCAGCATGCATCGGTTGTGATGTCACTACATGCATTACGTTGCCTTAGGGTGGCGTTCCTCGGTAATGACACTATGAATAAGGTATTTCTAGAGGTCAGGGTTCGTTTTTTCTTCGTCCGTCTCGTCTGCAGTTGAATAATTTTTACTTCGATTTATTTACAGTTTTCTTTCCAATGCGACTTAATTTCACTTGTTTTTTTAATTCTTGGTAATCAGTGTCACTGGCGATGAAGTAGTAAAAACGCAATTAACCGCAGTGCAGCAACTCGGGATAGACCATCCCGACGCAATGGGCAAATTATTACTACCCTAGTATTTTGGGTTTGCCAGCTCCGCACCCTTGATAGACTTCTTCTTGTAGACTTCCGTTTTTATCACTGTTTTTGTAAGGCTAACTATGTACAAAGGCGGGGTTACCTTTCGATCAATACATGTTATTGCTTTAAAGATGTGCTAGACGAAGCTGACACTTGTAAACAATACAAGTGAATAAGCATCGCGGGCAGGATTTCAAGGATCGTGGGCGAAACAAAAGCGACGCGGCTGTTTGTCTAAGCGACGCGGGCCCGCAGTGCTTGAAAGGCCTGGGGAGAACACTGTGGTAGTGTGATTCACATCATGCATCTCCTCACAATGAGTTCAGAACTTTTTGGTCTATGTTTCAATTAAGTCAAAGCAATATTTTGTTCACAGTACCTTGTGGATGGCATACACTGAATGTGTATTTAAATAATAAATTCATCATCACATCTAATCTATCAGCCATCTCATGTGTCATTGGTCCACCATTCTCTGCCTCATCTCCTGTACAGTCTTTCTCTTTTGCAGTATCTTTATCATTTTCTATTCCGTCTAACTCATCCTGATAAGAACAGACAGCTAAATTAGCATGGGTTTTGTTGCTTGAGTTGGAATCGCTTGAGTAAATGAAATCACAAGAAACAAGGACAAACATGTGCCCTTGCATAATTTCTCATCATCTAATGTTATGGGCAAGTTAAAATCCAGCCCAGCTGTCATCTTATCATGTGACATACCATATCAAACTGCATATCTTCCTCCATCAAGTCGTCTTCCTCATCTTCATCTTCCTCCTCCTCAGCAGCAATTTGGTTTAATTCATGTTTTGGGGCATGGACCTGTAGCCAAACACATACAATGTTGGAATAAACACAGATGCTTTCCTGTTGTAAGACACTTTCTCAAAGATGATAGATGCTGACAGACATCATTGCAGACAATTACTAAGAGTTACTTACATCGATTTTTGTCATCTTTTCTACTATCAGTTGCAGTATTGAAGCCCGCATATTAGGAAGATATCCGATGAGTTCAAGTAAGTTTTTCACATAGCATTCCTATTCAGAACAAACGTATGAAATCAGTAAGCCATTTTGGTTAAGCCTAATCTCAAAAAAAAATTTACAACTGGATTAAAATTACAACGAAAAACAGATGAATAGAGAAAACATTGTAAACATTGGTATCCCAAGATTCCATGGTACAATCCCTGGGATTTACAGCTTCCTCTTTAAATATACACAAAATATCAAATAATGGATGGTAGTAATGATCACCTGTATGTGCGTTTCTTTCTTCATGTAAGGAAAGCATTCAGAACATGTTTCTGGTAGTATAGTTGGTGTCCTGTAAAACATAAATTTGCTCATAAAATATCTGAAAAATGATTTCCACAGTGAGTATGAGATATAGGTACAGTCCTGTATTTTATCAGTTTAGATTCTGTTACATATACTGGAATTTGTTCAGTATCATATCCGACACCTGCACTATCAAGATATGAAACTGTGAGATTATAGCAATTCTACTAATGAAATAATTTAATAATAAGTAATTTTTAATATTTCCAAAAAAATTGTTCATGAAAACTTGCAATATTTTGTTATCAGTAAAAATATCACTGGGGTCCACAAGATGGGGCGGGGTGGGTAGTCAGTGATTATTTCAAATTATCAAACCATGAAACCATTTGTTAACATTACATGCCATTATGTTTATTTATATCAACAAAACAACTTACATTGGTGCAATATGAATGATAGATTTCAATGCACAATGTGTGCGCTGAAAACAGATAGCTTCTTTTTCTTCTGTTATGCCTTCTGGTGCTGGAAATTCTGTAACAAAATGAATAGAAACAAGTCATTGAAAATGACAGCCCCCGTTAAATTTTTTAAAGTTCTCTTTGTGCTTGTTATATTAAAGTGGAGGGGTTGTCACGAGCATGTCCTTGAAACTTGAGTTCCAAGTGGCGTATACAACAGATTGTTTATTTACATCAAATTCGAACATGCGTTGCGTGACGACCCCTCCAGTTTAAGACATAGCAAAGAAAAACATGGATCACAAGTGAAAGCATGTCCATGTTATCACATTTTAAACAAACAAGATGGCCGCCAGTCGGCCAAATTTTATCAAATTGCAAATTGAAATGACATGTATCCATTTATGACATGATAAATATCAATGAAAATAGTACATGGGTGACAGAGATATAGTAATATGGCAACAAATAAAAACAGCCGTTATTCGGCCATCTTTGATCTGATTATGAAACAAAGTGACATGTATGATGTATGTGTCAAATACAAATGAAAATGGTACATAAATCTTGGAAATATAGTAGTAAGGCCAAAAAGTCAGATGGCTGTCAATCGGCAATCCTTGATCCAATTTTGAAACAAGCAGCTTCTCGGCTGAGATAGCTCCGCTGTTAGCAATGCACATTTCAATTAAAGAACGGAAGATATCATTAGAAAATGAACAATATGCATAGTATCAATGCAATGGGACTTGCTGTTTTCAACAAGAATTCAAAAATATCACTTTTCACCAAAAATGACAGAAATATTCACCAAAATTAGAGAATTAAAGATATCATCACAAAATGAACAAATCTGAGAGAGGTCCACATGTAGTACCTATATATGTAATATCAAAGCAATTGGACTTGCGGTTTTCAACAAGAAGTCGAAAATATCACTTTTTACCAAAAATGACAAAAATAATCACCAAAATTAGAGAATTAAAGATATCATTACAAAATGAACAAATCTGAGAGAGGTCCACATGTAGTACCTATATATGTAATATCAAAGCAATTGGACTTGCGGTTTTCAACAAGAAGTCGAAAATATCACTTTTTACCAAAAATGACAAAAATAATCACCAAAATTAGAGAATTAAAGATATCATTACAAAATGAACAAATCTGAGAGAGGTCCACATGTAGTACCTATATATGTAATATCAAAGCAATTGGACTTGCGGTTTTTAACAAGAAGTTGAAAATACCACTTTTTACTAAAAATGACAAAAATATTCACCAAAATTAGAGAATTGAAGATATCATGAAATGAACAAATCTGAGAGAGGTCTACCCAAGGTACATATACACCAAGTATCAAAGCATTCAGGCTTGTAGTTTTCAAGAAGAAGTCGAAAAAA